CTAGCACCGGCGCTGAGTGTTACAACCCATGTCAGCTTTGTATTGCTGTCTGTAACGCTGCAGATTTCCACTTGCTTCCTGTCTGGTGAAACCATTGTCGCCCTGATAGTAAATAGGGGAAATGTCTCTAATGGAGCTCCAGATAGCAGCAGAAACCCAACAGGGGTTTCCAATCCTCATTCTGTCCAAAATGTAAAAAACTATTTAGGCTGGACATCTAAATCGCCCCCAAAGAATCTGAGAATTTAGACATAAGCATTTTTGGGCGGCAGATGTGAGAAATCCCAGAGGCTAGGATTATTATTTGTTTTATGTGTTTACACCATAGTTCCACTGCTGTAAATCTTCAAACTGCATTTTTCCGCCAGTAAAGACTTTTCTTGATCCTGCTATATATGGCATTTATCAGCTTAACATCTGCTGAACATAGACAGTGCGAAAAGCATCAGGAATACATCTCATATCTATAAACAAAAGAAAAAAACCAACGCCGGGCAAAAAAACAAACACAAAAAAAACCCTATTCAGTCTGTTTATAAACAATTCTCAGAGCCACTCACCCTGTGAATCTCTGTGAATGTCCGTTGTGTTTGAATAGAGGCAAAAATAAACATTCCCCGTTTATTTTTTGTTTCAGGTGGAATGTAATGTAATACCACAGTATGGCCACTAGATGGAGCTGATAAACACAGGAAGTATTTATTTCCTCTGCTCCTCAGCTCCATCTAGTGGTATTACATTACATTACATTACATTAGACCTGAAAAGAAAATGTACCAAGAAGATACGTTTTTTTGCCTCTTATTCACAGAGAACGAACGTTCACAGAGATTCACAGGACGAATAGCTCTGAGAATTGTTTATAAATAGACTCCTAAATAAATAATGGTAGCTTATTCCTAAACACCCCCTGTATTTTCCATAGCAGGCTGTGAGTCAATTCATTTTAGACCACCATTGGGTTTTACTGCTTTAAAATAAGATTCTGTTGTCCCACGGAGATGGAAGTCCGTACGGTGATTCCAGAGTAGTTCATCGGCAGGGACGCTCTTCTCGGCGGTCTGAATTTAGCCAGAATTTGCCTGAAGACCTCTCTGGCTTTCTTGCGGAAATGATTGCCGACGATTACGTAGAGGAGTGGGTTGAGGCAGCTGTTGCTGAAGCCGAAGTAGGTCGATATTTGGTTTCCGACCTCGAGGACCTGGGCCCAGTCACACGAATGGAAGACTCTAAACAGGTCAAACGTATCAACGAAGGTAATGACGTGGAACGGAAGCCAGCATACCACAAAGACCAAGAGTACAGAGAAGACCAACCGTGTGGCCTTCTTCTCATTGTTGACTTCTTTGAATTGCTGCATGGTGTTGTTCCTCAGGACTTTTATAATGTGGAAGGTGCAGAACCCAATGACAACCGCCGGGATGAAGCAGCCAAAAAGGTTCATGAGGATATTTGAGGCGATGTTCCACCTTTCGTCTGGGGGAAATATGAGGCAAGAGGTGGTGTTAAACTCAGGAAGAAACAATACCTTGCGGAATATGACTTTGGGCAAACTGGCCACTACCGCAAAGATCCAGATGATGGCGCAGTTAATCTTGGCACAACTGGTTCTTCTCATCCGGCCGAAAGACATGGTCTTCACCAGGGCCAGATATCGATCAATGCTGACCATCATCAGAAAGTAGATGCTGCCGTAGAGGTTCAGCTGGATTAGAGAATTCACGGTCACGCAGAGGAAGCTGCCGAACGGCCAGTTGAACTTGTTGGAGATGTAAATGGCCCAGAACGGAAGGCCACTGACGAAGATGAGATCTGCAGCGGCCATGTTGCCCAGGTAGATCTCCGCCACAGTGCAGGGGCTTTTATGAAGCAGGAAGACTGAGATGACAAATACATTTTCCACGAAGCCCACGGCAAAGATAAACCACATGTAGGCTGGCTGGTAGGTATAGAGCCAGTCAATGCCTTCCGGGACAAAGCAGTTCCTCATATGTGAATGGGTGTCATTCTGTTGGTCTAAACTGGAGAAAGCAGCCATCGTCATCGTCGTTAGGTTGTCCATGTGGTGTCCCATTTTTTTCCCTGGTGACATAAAGAAAACATGAATGGAGAGAGTTACATTTTGCATCCTGTTTATCTCTATCGGTCTGCTATCAATCATACAGTATATTTGATGTCAGTGTGACTGAAGGGGTTAATAAACCCTCGGATGTTTTTGCATATATCTGCGGCTAGCAAGCAATAGATATATGCAAAAAGATTTTTATAAAAACGTTTTCAAAGGGTACTTACCTGTGTTTCTGCCGCGCGCTCCCGTCCGGACATCTGAAAATTTCTCGGGCGGCCGCAAAGGATCTTGGGGGGGGGGGGGGGGAGGCGGAGGTTCGGAGGTTTG